TCTGCTCCAAATTATCAAATTTTTTCCCTTTGTAAGATCTAGTCTTTTTAGCTATCATAAAATTTACTAGATCTACCTAAGTGTTGATCCTTGCGAATTCTCGCGCAGGCATGAAGTTTAACATAACCAGGAGAAATGTGTAAAAGACCCTTTTATTGAACACAATTTGCATATGACACTGACTTACGTGCTTACAAACACCGATCACTTGCGGTGAGAACATGATGGATAATACGAGGGATATCCAGAAAGTAGATTACGTTTTGGAATAAAAAAATAAACAAAGTATAGGAAACAAATTTTATTATATACAGATGAAAGCCACACTCAAATACTACTTTTCTACATAGTCACCATACAAATTAAGGCATTTATCGTAGCGATGTACGAGCTTGGAAATTCCTTCGTCGAAAAATTCGGCCGCCTGCGCCTTCAACCACTTCGTTACCTCTTCTTGCAGCTGTGCGTCGTCATCAAAACGCTGCATAGCCAGCCACTTCTTCATTGCTGGGAATAGGTGGAAGTCGCTCGGTGCCAGGTCGGGGACTGTACGGCGGATGAGGAAACAACTCCCACTTAAAAGATTCAAGAACTTTACGAGGGACATTTGCCGTGTGGGGCCGGGCGTTGTCGTGAATCAACAAGATCTTAGAGCTCAACATTCCTCTGCGCTTGTTTTGAATTGCTCTTCTGAGTTTTTGGAGAGTTTGGCAATACCTTTGAGAGTTTATTGTAGTGCCTCTCTCCAGGAAGCCACACCAAAATTACACCTTTTCTGTCCCAAAAAACAGTCGCCATCATCTTCCTTGCCGACATTGTTTGCATGCATTTCTTGGGTTTTTGGGAGAACTTGTGTGCCCCCACTGCATTGATTGCAATTTCGTTTCACAGTTCACATGTTTCACCCATGTTTCGTCACCAGTAACGATGCGATCGAGTAAAGAGTCACCATCCTTATGGTAAGCGTCCAAAAAGTTCAACGCTGCAGCCATTCGCTGATTTTTGTGGTCCTCTGTCAAGATTTTTGGAATCCATCTTGCACAAAACTTGTGGTAACCAAGCTTTTCGCTGATGATTTCGTGCAACAAACTTCGCGAAATTTGTGGAAAACTCAAAGAAAGTTCCGTTATTGTGAAATTTCGACTTTTTCACGGACTTTAGCATCGACTTTTTCGAGAAGTTCGGCGGTCACTATGCTGGGTCTCCCACTTCGATCTTCGTCGTGAACATTGGTTCGGCCATTTTGAAATCTTATGACCCACTGACGCACGCACTCCACCTTCAGTGATAATGTTGTCCCCATACACTTCACGAAGCTGCCGATAGATTTCTATCGGTTTACAGTTTTTTGCAGTCAGAAACCTTATTACTGAGCGCACCTCGCAGCTCGCGGGATTTTCAATTAACGCAGACATTTCAAACCGTCACAGTATCTGAACGGAGCACAGCACGAACCTCTCACTAGCACGGCTAGATGCAGACTGAGCTGCGCAACGCTCTGACCCAAGATGGCCGCGCTAGCCCCGCCCCTAGCGGACACAGACGGAAACGTAATCTACTTCCTGGATGGCCCTCGTATAAGACTAAATTTAAAGGTAAAGAGTAGTACGAGACTGCACAGTTCAATTTAAACTAACAGGTTGGCTGATAACCTACACCGGCAAGATAATAACTCAGCGGAAAGAATGCGTAGCCGATATTAATGTTAACAGCTGGAAGAAAATAGCAACGTGCTCTCACAACAGCGAAATCACGCTCTGAATAAACCTTTTGCTCTAAAGGTTTAAATACTCTTGTTCACCCTAACTCATTTACATCCTGGCGTTGAAACGCGAGGGGAATGAGAGAAAAGAGGAAAGGCTCACAATTTAAAATAGCCATTTATAAAAATAAATAAAACTCTATATATTGAAATCAAAGCCCGATGGTTTTAGAACAACCTTACTTTTAAAAATTATTTTTATCTTAACAGAGAACAAAATATTAAACATTTCTCCTAGCCCCCTCCTTTGCACGAATTTTTTTCAACTTTTTCCCGAAAAATCATTTAAATGCCTTTTGCTTAAAATGACGTACAAATATAGAAATAGATTTGATATGGATTAATTGTGACAAAAGAGATTAAAACCGGCTGCTTTGGACAAGTCTTTTCTTGGTCAGTAAAATCTCTGAAATTTTGAAAACGTCATCTTTTTTCAATGAGTTAATTTCTTTTCTTTTTGTTGTTTTCTGACATTTTTAATACGGACAGGCTCAAGTAGTAAGAGGTGCATTCGTTGCTAATCATCTACATGACAGAAAGGTAGCTATAAGCCACCTATACAATATAGTGAAACGACAAATGCCTGCATCGTTGCTTTGAGGGAGAGGAAGGTGGGAGAGAGTAGAGATTACGTCTTACTAGGGATTATTAGTCAAAGCGCGCATTCGTCGCGGACAGAAACTGGAACCATTTAAGTAAACCGTATTGAAAAGTCCCCATGAAGAGAAATCCGCCTTCGTTATTTATAATATTCATGTCGGAAGCAACATTTGTTTGAAAATATTATTAAACCATTGGGTGTATGAAATTAATGCAAGAGCCGGTATGTAATTTATACGTTGTTTTAATGTTTGAACACTGTTACAGAGACATCTTTAGGCGTTTATTTATCATAGGTGCATAGAACTGTGTCGCTTTTGATTTGTTTTTAACACATATTTTATTTTTTATTTAACTGTAACTGAGCATCAAAGAAATCAATTTTCTAATGAATATCGGTGCAAGGTTTCACATATGAGGATATCAAAAGACTTCTAGATTAATTTGACTAAACTTTAGAATTTAGATCAAATTTTAGAAAATTTCTTTTGCAGCAAGAAAATTTATTTTATTTTATCACAGAACTGGAAACGAGTTAAGTATAAAATTATTTTTTTATTTTAATTTTTAAAAACATTTTTAAGGTAATATAGTGACATAATATATTTATTGTAATACTCATATATGCTAATAATAAAAAATGTAAAATTAATTGGTATAGTAATCAACACAGGAAATTAGTTTTATTTCAGTTTTAAAACTCAGTCTGTAAAAAATTCAGTTTTCCTAGTTTCTTAAGGTTTAGCTAAATTAATGGAAAAATATAAATTTCTAAATTTTAAATTGAAGCTACTAAAGTTAAGATGTTTTAAAACCAATATAGGATAAATAAGTTCTTTATTCTTCAAATAAGGCGGAAGAGAATGAAAAATTTAATGTTAAAAAACGAAACAAAATTAAGCACTGTGTGCTATGCATTTATAATAATTAGGACATAAATATCTCTGTACATGATATTCTCTGGTTACAGGCAATCCAGCTTACGACATTCTGTACTAAGTAGACGGATTCTGAAGCTTTCCGTAAATTAATGCATTTGATGAAAATTAATAATTACAGTAATAATATACAAAAACTAGTTGCTCCGGCCTGGCGTAACAGTTAGTATTCAGTAGTTGTATCTCTGCGAATGTGAATGGCAAGAACAAAAAATAATTACAATTTTGAATAATTAAATTTGGAATAAGATCATGGGTCGAAAGAATCTTGAAAATATTATAGAGTTACTGAATGTATTACAATCTCCTTGGAGCTGCTGGAAAGGAGCCTCGCTAAAGCGTTAAAAAATGAGCAGCTAATGGAACTCAAATTGCAAAGGGTTGTAAATGAAAGTGAAGTTAGACATCGAAGCGAAAACATTTTTCCTAATAAAAGAGTGGAAAGTTTTAGACTGGTGTAACTTTATCTTTATTAAGGAACAGAATTCAGATGTTGAAAAATTGTAAAAGCGCCTGCTGCAGCTGAAGAAGAAATTACTCTTTAACAGCATGATATACGACTGGAGTGGGGAAAAAAAATCAAACAGCAGCCTATCCATGATATTTTCGAAAACAAAAAGAAAAACTGTGAAAGGAAATAATCGGCAAACATATCGTTTTTCACAGAGACACTTCTGTGCTTAAACCAATTGTTAAATGCTATGTTTGGAGTTTTGTGGTTGTATTGGTGTATTTTTATTCCTATACCAAGATTTAAATTTGTGTTACACTTGTTTTCTTTGAATTTATTCTTTCTAAAACTATATTATATCGTCTGATTAAGTTGATCACTTAAATATTTCCGAACGATTACGGCTAGAAGTTGTTCTCAATCGGAAAAGGAAAGATGATGTAAGCTAGTATTTCCCAAAGTATAATATTTAGCCTCTTAAAAGGGGAGATATGACATAAAAATTTTCAAATTTTCAATTTTGGGCTAAAAAAAAGTAGCCTGAGACGATTATAATTTATGCATGTTTAGAAATTTTAAAAGACCAAAATCTTTCATTACAAAATGTAAACAAGCACTAGCAAGTCCACCAGTTTAGAAGGGACAGTGTCTGGTGTGTCAACAATAAAGCCATATTATTCAGCTGGTAAAAAAGTGTGTTCATAAACATTCTTTGTTAGAACCTGTTTTATTAGCTGAGTGTTTAGAAGTCTCTCTGACAAAAAAACTACTGTCAAATTGAATGCATGAAAGAAGTCAAATCCCGCCGCCCAACTGGTCTAGTGGTTAGCGTCGTTGACTGCTGTGCCGAAGGGCCCGGGTTCGAATCTCGGAGAAGGCATTGATGTTTGTAAATTTATAGTGTCCGTGCGGCATGGGGCATTCGAAATATGCCGCGAGCCGAAAGTCCTTTTGAGAGGTTTGAGAAAGTATTATGTTATTCCATATTTTTGTATCAATATAAAAGAAGAAACATATGAATTAATATAATGTTAAATAAATGTTCTGTTCCTGTATTGCCTTTAAGAATTTTCGCTCTTATGATAATTTCTATGCAAATTTACTGTACTGTAAATTGACTTTCAGTGTCTTAAAAATTACTAATGAAATGTAATTTAGGCAAAAAAAACTTTATATCGAAAAAGTATTAATAGTGTAAGTAGTAACTTAACTATGTAATGAAATTTACTTTTTATTTTTTATTTTGCAGGAACGGCTGCTACTAAGTGTTCTGCCGCAACACGTGGCCATGGAGATGAAAGCTGACATTATTCGCCCCCGAGAAGGTCCATTTCACAAGATATATATTCAGAAGCATGAAAATGTGAGGTAAATACGCAGCCTTTTTTCATTAACATATGAACTTTGCTAATATAAAGATACGATCATTTTAGTGGATGGAGGGGTAGAGGAAAGGGTCTGCCTTGCAATTTGGATGGGGGAAAAAACATGCTTCTATGGTACTGCCTCCAGTTGAAATTAATGTCATCTATGCATTTAGTATTATAATTAATCTAATTGTCATGTTTCATTATTTACTATTTGCAAATGCTCAGTATCATGGCTTAGTTATATCATAGATGTTTAATAATCATTTCGAAGAATTTTGAAAATTTCCAATGATTTTTGAATAATTTTGGAAGTGTAGCTAATATTTTGCTATGCAATTAATTTTTCTTAGACATGTGTACTTGGTTAGTTAAATCAATAATAATGATCATGATGATGAAATGAAATGATTACTGGGGGGAAGAAAATGGAAAAAGAAACTTGCTGTCCGATTTTTGATTTTCTAACTTACCCGAAAGCTGATATAAGCTTTTATTTTTGTAGGGAGAAATGTGCCATCAAAAAATCAAAACTGATTTTTTTAACAACTGTGTATGTAATTTTTATATTTATTGCATATGTAAACAAACAAAAAAAATAATTAAAGGAAAAACTAAAATGAAATCGAACATCATGTGAGTTAGGAGTAATTTCCATTTAATAGATATAATGGCACATGGGTTGGTAACTATTAAGTGCTATCTTATAAACAATCAGCTGAAAATCAGCTCTTTAAAAATACTATTAAGGCACCAAGCTTGAATGCTTTCAACTTTTGACAGAATGCCATTTTCATAGTATAGTGAAAATCATATCTAGTTTTGATTGTGTTGATAAATTTAAATGCTATCTTTATTTTTTCTTGAGCGGTAAAGTCTCTAAACACTGGTAGTTCCGACCTGGGTTCGATTCCAGGCGACCGGATTGGTTGCGTGGGCGTTTTCGTGATTTTTCCCATAAAACAATCTCAAGAAGGCGCGCCCCCCTTAGACAGGTAGCCCTTGTGTGCTTTGCCATAATTAAACTAAACCAAGACGACCCAATTATCTTTTCTTATATATTTATTTATGCTAGCTTTATATCTTATCTGCTTATTTCGTATTTTACAGTGTTTTTATGCAATATGATAGAAAATTTCCCTTGATTATATCAGTTTTACAAGCACTATTTATAAAAATGTAATTAAATTCTTTGAATAAATAGGAATATTTTTTCTTTTCCTTTTTTTAAATGATATTTATCACTAACAAGTAGTTTAAATTAGTTGCTATGTACAGGAAATCTCTTAATAATGCTGTAACCTCACCTATTTTTGAAGAAAACTGCAAATTCATTCATGATAATTGAACAGCATTACAAAGAGTGTGTTTGCATTTAATTGCAGAAACCTAAGATTTTAAGAAGTTAACTGAAAATGTTCCAGTAGACCTTTTATGAATTTTGCCTCTCAAGCAGATCAGAACGTTGGTTAAACGTTCGCAGATTGAATTTATATTTGTCAATTACTGCATTTGTCATTTCTAATCTAAGCATTTACAAAACCTAAGAGATCTGATAAGTTATTTGCTCGTATTCAGTTCTGATAGAGTAAAATATACGTGATTGCATGGAAATTTGACTAAAGGGGCATAGCAAAATTTGGATAGACTAGTAACAAAGTGTGCGCAATTTTTAATTTTTATTTCAAGCAATATAAAAATATATATGTGACTGGTCCCCCTTTTTTTTACGCTATCCGTATTGAGCCATTCATTTGTAAAATATTTCTATTGAAAGAAAAATTAATAAAATATTCACAACAAAATACATTGCTTCTGCTTCTGCGTGAATTGCATCTCCTGTTTATGGTAATATAATACATGTTTGCTTATTATCACAGCCCTGAAAAAGTCAGAGCCAAGTTCAAAAGAATTTTCAGTAATCTCATTTTCTTACTATGTATTTATGTATGTTACCGTTAACGTATGAAATCCATTATTTCATAAAATACGTAGTCTCGTGAAATAACTGATCAAGTTAGTTAAAGTGTGTAATAAATTAATAATTGCACTCCTTAACAGTTATTTCAAAGAATGACTCTCTACGGCCCGTTAAAATGTAACATAACCGATATGGTTCGCCCCGTTTGTTAGTATTATCTACTATATTGCAGTATACCGTGCGACTTAAATTAAAGTTCCGAATTGAAAAGGCTGTAAGCTGAGATTTACCGGTCAAAAATTGGACATAATTATGAAAATGCGGTTGCTGCGGTTTTTTTTTTTTTTTTTTTTTTTTTTTTTTTTTTTTTTTCAAATTGGAAACAAGAAAAGTCGCATAAAACAGCTACATTCTCGACCCCAGTTTTGCTTCTGGAAGCAAAAACGAGTTAAGATCGAAGAAGTGCCTAATATAGAGAAATCTCTGTAGTCGGTTGCTGCAGCTCAAAGTTTAGGTACCAATCAAGGATTTAAAAATGTTCATGTAAACACAGTGTGCGAAAAAAATTATATTTATTTTAGAAATAATGCTCTATGCACTTATAAGTGCCATTTTAGTAATCCCTGTTGTAACGAATAATTTTATAGTGTCTCTGTATTGTGAGGTATCTTATGCTAGTTAGTCAGTTATGATGCTGATCTTTACTATAATTTCCCCTTCCCGTATTCCTCACCTGAATCTAATTTAGCTTTCACTATATTTAAGCTGAGAGTTTTCAATCTCAGTTGCGAGAGCTTCTGGCAATCACGTTTGCTGTTAGTATATTTTCGCCAGCTCGGCTTAAAATTGTTATTCCGGCTTTAGCATTTTTGCTAGCCGATGATTTTAAATTCCTCTTCGATAAAATGCTTTGAATCGGCTTATTCTTTATTCTCTTGAATGTGTAGTCATTGAGTATGTTATTAGCGTTTGTATTTAATTATCTGTTATTGCTTAATGTCGCACAGATGGTATAGTGGTTAGTAACGCTGACTACAGTACCAGTAACGTGTAAGAAAGTAATTTGATAATTAAACTAAGCAATTTTTATTGAGATAACCTCATGCAGTTATTTATCTTCATTTTACCAAGCATTTTAGGCTGCATTTTTCATAAACAATTCTGAGTTAAACTTTATAAAAAGATTAATTTATTAATGACCTTTGTTAATTAATTATGTAAATTTAAAATTCTATTAAATGCTATAAGTTGCATTAATTTTCCAGTCATTTTCAATTTTTAAATGCTTAAGTTTTCTTCTTACTTTTTCAGCAAAAGTTTATTAGTTCGTTTTCAAAAATATGAAATATAAAAGTAAAAATATCCCTCTTTCCATCTTGCATTCCCAAATCGTTATGCGAAAATGGATTTACAGCTTTTAAAACCTGAAAAATGCACGTGTGTGTGATGTTATTTTCATGCGATGATTTATAAGTACTTTATTTTTTACCACGATGTTTTCGACGACGATGATTTTAAAGTGCAAAGTTTTTGAACCACTTAATTTTCGACGACGGTATTTTGTACCACGATGTTTTAGATCTGCGATGTTTTCTCTTTGTTTTCTTTTCTCCCACGATGTTTTATACCCCGACGTTTTCGCCTTGCGTTGTTTTCTCCGCGACATTTTCTTCGGCAATGTTTTTGTCGCGAAGTTTTCTGTGGACACCATTTAAATAGCCACAAGTGGTAATTTTGTCTGTAAAAGTAAGTCGTGCCTTAATATTCACTTAAGTTTAAAATAAAAAGGTTATTTTAAACTTTCTTCAGTACTTTGTGAGTGTTTAAGCGATGAAAGCTATCTGTCCAGTCAGGTCGGCAGAACTTTATAGCTCCAGTAACACTACAGTGTAAATGACATTTGTATGCTGTATGATTCAGTCAAATTGTCTATTTTACACTTTAACTACCTATCTTCAGCTAATTTAGAGAATAATTAGTTAAAGTGTCGAATTATTAACTTATTATATACTTGATCGGTTATTTCATGAAATAACTAGGTATTTTCTAAAATAATTGAATAAATGGGCATCTGATCTTATACTAACAGCGGTATTGGATAATTGCTGCTACAGTACTCTGTTTTAGTTTCAGTTGCTATTTAAAACTAAATCTTATTTTCATTTAAGTAAATTCCGCTGGAAGAAATAAGAAATGCAAAAAAGAATTAACATAAAAATAACTTGTTAGCTAAAATTAATTTTAGCTTAACTCGCATATCAAATTTATATTAATAGTATTAATTTTCGTAAAACAAAACGCAAACTCTTTCAAAAAACGATCTGTCTGCTACTCTGTTTGTTACATTCATCTATCAAATTAAAATGTTAATGAATTTTCCTGCATTTCTGAAATTAAAAAGTGAAATTATAATATGAAAACTATGTTTTCTTCAAATTAATAAATTATTGTTTTACCATTTGTCTTCGTGCCAAGAGATAATAATTCATTAAGCTGTCATAAAAATTAAATATTTAACCTTGTAATACCCCTTTATTTGTTGGAGGAAACATAAGCTTGACATCTATGTGGCAACTAACAATGAGTAAGAAAATTTTACTATTTCTTTGTCGAATTATTAAAAATTTGGGAACCTGAGTTCCAGTATATAATTGGAATTTTCCTTTTTGGCTAGAAATATTCGTAATATACTTAGATTTTATATGTATTATATAGAGGTATTGTATATAGTGTATGTAAATTATATATATATATATATACATATATATAGTGTATGATAATTATATATATATACATATATATAGTGTATGAAATAAATTATATGTGTATGTAAATTATATGTGCATCAAAAGAAAAAAAAAATCACCCAAAAGGAGCAAGTATAAATTTTCTGCTATGTTTTGCTTGAGGAATTTAGCTCTTAAAAACCGGTAGAAGACTTACGTGCAATTTTCACTTATTTCAGGCTTCTGAGCATGAACCACAGCCTCAGTATAGCAACTTAGCGCTGCGCATAACTTTTTATATGGCATAACTTGAACCGGTAGAAGTGATCAAGCTTATTGACAACCTATAGCTTA